TCAATTTCCAGCTCTTCTGCCAGCTCTGCAGCATCCACTAATATTTCTCTAAAATGGTCGTCAGTCCTTATTTTGACAAAATAGTCGTCGATAGCTTTTAGAGCTTTTGTGGACTCAATGATGTCGAGTTTCTCATTCTAAAGCAGTTTACTAGTTGCATTTATACTGTTGGAAATTTCGTAACTGAAATGACCATTTTTCCAAGATGTAGTACTGACGCACCGAATTTGGTCAAAATGTATCGAACTCAGTACAATTGTACCGAAACAGCCGCCCTCAAATCTGGCCGCCTGGAGCAACTGCTCCTCTGCTCCACCCCTCAGGACGGCCGTGGGTCGTGATTTCCGTATGTAAGAAGAACAGGAAAAACGTTGCCAAACCAAATAAACAGAGAATCGGTGCAAATTGCTAAGAGACGTGGAAGGGGATACAGCAGATGGCAGATGGCGGTCGACCTAATCAGTACTTAAAATTCTAGAGAAGGGCGTAAATCATGCGTTCAGCTTTACGATTTAATTACGTCTCGTGATACTTTGTTTATTTATTAACGAGTCGATGGAATTTTCACTATATATAGCTTGTAAATGTTTAAGTGCAAGTTAGAAACACCTGCACTTTTGGTACAAATAAGTGGAATTGAATTGGTGTTCGACAGTGGTCGCGCTATTAATGCTCTTAATTCAAAAATCAAAATCTCGAAATCCATTAGAGATAATGGAATTTAGTTTTTTTTTTCAAAAACTTTCTTAATATTTCTGCTAGATTTTCTTCGCAGACAGTATGTGAAAGTCTTTACAAATAAAAAAGTTACACGATTGCTCAAAATTGTTATGCACTAAAAGTAAATTGACGGTTTTTTAATATTTTTGAATGGAACAAAAACAGCCTATCGATTTTTTCTCATTCAAACATCTCGTAAAAGATCAGAATTTCAAATTAAAAAAAAGTATCAATATTTAAAGTGGTTCTTGAGTTATTGCGTGTTATATCTATGTTAAAAAGTTGACTTTTTAAATTATCGCGATTACTGACGTTTTCTCGTTATAAAAAATATGTATAGACATCCTAATGATGTCCTTATAATTCCATTTCAAATGCTCAGAAACATATCTAATGATTTTATCTAGTTATCTTTTCGAAAAAAAAGTCTTTTAAAAATAAGCGGTTTACGATCGTGATTTTACTTTACTTGATAGGGAAAGGCTTACCGGAGAAATGTGGCAACGCCGCAACAGCGCACCGTCGCATTTCTCTCACTCCGACTTAATAAGATCCCTATGCGATTTACTTCCACACATGTAGATAACGAAACGACCCAAAAGTAAGAGTTGCCAGCACGGTATGTATACTATGATTATACAGGGTGTGGACATGGAACTACTACGTATTTTTGGAATAAAAATAAGTTCATTGGTTAGAGGGCATCATACTTTAAAAAAATAAACACATTTTTTTAGATATTTTAAGAATCGTTATTCAGATTTGAATGAAATTTTGGGTGTGTATTTTTTGCTATGTTCTTTAACATTTGACTTTTACAAAAATCAAGAAAACGTACGGGAAGGGTGAAAACTACCCCACCCTTGCATAAATTTTAGTATAAATATTTTCCAACTCAACCGACGACCGATTTTTTTTTCGTAAAATGGTCATTGTAGAATTTACTACATTTTTTGTCTCTTGTAAAAAAACGCTACCGCGCTAACTTACCAAGTATATCTCAAATCTTCGATTACAACAATTTAACTGCTTACTCACCTGAAAATAAAGAAATAGGACTTCAATAAAATATAATCAACTCACGAGCTTTATTGTGGTATAATATGATAAATCTATATTTCTAAAAGTCTCTCCTTATTTATCTTTGGTTAAATGTACTCTTTGGCTGTCTGTGATTGTTAGGACAAGCGGTAAACAAACTTGGTTCTAATAACCGCCGGCCATTTTACCTTCCGCAGCATATAAAGTCGATTGCCGTGAGAGAAAGAATTATAATCTAGTCTCTAATGTAAGAGCTCCTAAATAACGTTGCGGAGGTGTAAAACCACACTCGATAAACTGTTGCGGCTCCCTTTGTAGTCCTTTCTCGGCCACTGAGTTCCGCTACCGCCGTCTTATTCATCCGATATAAAAATGGCCACGCTAAATGCTATCTTGTAGTCTATAAAGTTACTGTGAAGGCGCTAAATTTATTCATGCTAATTTTGAAGCGAAATTTAAGGACGCAAAGGAAGATATAGAGGAGGTAAATAATTTTACTTACTTAGGTAGTATAAGCTCAGCCAACTGAGGCACAGAGCAAGATATCATAAATAGAATAAACGTTGTTCATACTTAAATCAAGGAAAATCCTCAATGGAAATTTTACACTACTAATGATTCCAAAGAGTCATCTATACTTGAACTGTTATGCCAAGCAAGCATGCTCAACAAAGCACTAAACAAAGCGAGAATTCAATCTATGCGATTTACGAGGATACTATTATTGAATTCCGAGAAGACATATTTATAATCGCTTGACTTATTGCGATTTCCTAACAAATATCATCCATTATGAATGGCCACGGGCGTTACTCAAATCCATTCGAGCGTACAATGAAAGCACGAGCTTTATAGAGCTACAACGACTTAAGGCCCAGCTACACTAATCGTGTTCGATACAATCACGGGTCTGTAACATTTAGCAATAGTGATTTATTAGATATATATTTTATTTGAACTACACTTGCTATAGATCATACCAAATAAACTTTTAGTCACGTCACTAAGTTTGACCGGCACAGCGTTGCCCATTTTTGCATATTTTCTTTTAATCAAAATATTTTAGGAAATAAAAATAAATTAATTACAAATATACACACACCCGAAAAATCGGATATTACAATTTTATCCAGCCATCGTCGGTAATTTTATTATTTGCATTTCTGATATAATAAAATTAAAATAAACAAATAGTTTACAGGACGTATTGGAAATAAAAATGCAAAATTTACCGAATTTTTCAAATTTACCTTGATTTTTATTATTACAAACTCAAAAAAATACACACATTTTTTTTTATTCTAAACTGTGAATTAAAAAAAAAGATAAAACCATTTTTACTTAATAACGGGTATGACCTCCTCTACTGTTCGTTACAGCCCTACATCGTCTCTCCATGCTCCTGATCAGGTTGTCGATCTCTTCTTGAGGTACAGCCTGCCACGCTGCATTCACGGCCCGAACCAGATCCCTACGAGTTTCACGAGGCATACCCATTCTCAAAATTCTTCTTTGGACCGCGTCCCATACGTGCTCGATGGGGTTGAGGTCAGGAGATTGTGCCGGCCAGGGTAAGATCTTTAATTGATGAGCATTGATAAACTCACTTTCCACTCTGGCTGTATGAGGCCGTGCATTGTCATGCATGAGAATGAAGTTTCTCCCAAAATCATTGGCATATGGTAACACGACAGGCTCAAGAATTAAATCACGATATGTGATTCCTGTTAGAAACCTTTCAAGAAAAACGAGATCGGTTTTTCGGCCTAACTGGACTTCTCCCCACACCATAACTGTTCTACCTTGATAAGGGTGCACTTCCTGAACATGATCCAACCGAATAAGATTTCCCGGTTCTCTCCATACCCTAATCCTTCTCGAATCCGGATGAATTCCAAAGCGTGACTCATCTGTGAAGAGAACATTGGCTCATTGTTCATTCGACCACTGAACATGATCTTGAGCCCACAAATATCGTTAATCTATTGCGAACAGTGTCAGGACTAACGGTTACATTTGTGTTTGTTGGAGAATTAAACTAAGTTCTAGTGCTGTAAGAGTCGGTCGGCGTCGAGCATTTAATTGTAAAAAATGATCTTGCTGAGGGGTAGTAATGCGATGTCGCCCAGTGTGCCTTTCAGCAACATCACCACTTTCACGGTAGCGTGCACTTAATCGCGATATTACACTTTGCGTTGTATTTAATGCTCTAGCTACGTCGATTTGGCGCATTCCAGCTTCGAGCATACCCACGGCCCTTAGCATTTAGTCTCTGTTAAGATGTCTAGGCTCCATAATGTCGTTTAATACTAAACAGAGTTATTTACACATCCTGTAATACATACATACAAATCCTCCAAACCCTCCACAAAGGTATAGACATTATTTACATTTTCTTTTAAATAATTAGAGTCTTATAATAAGTACAATAATTAAATATCGTAATATTATATGAATTTCTCTTTTTCTGGTCTTGGACTACTGTAAGTCACCTTGTACGAAAGTACGCAATGTACGAAAGCAAAGTGTAAACAGGCCTTTAGAGGTCTTAAACCGTGCCGCGCGGCTGTAATATCGTTTTTGACTAATGCACGTGCAAACGGCGTGAATTAGCGCCGGCCTTTTGTTGTGACGTGTTAATTAAATCTGCGAGAGAAGCAGAGTGACCTCAGGCCTCTTTGGCCGAAGATGAATGGCCATCCGTGCTTCAGAGTAATAAGAAAACGGTACGGAGGTGGCAAAGCCATCATCAACATTCTTAATGTAATTAAAGTGTTTAAGAATAAATTTCATTAGTCCGAAAAACTGACGAAATATAAGCTTTCGGCATTTGACGTTTTATGTAAAACTGGCTAGGTATTTTTACACAAATGAAGAAGGAAATTAAAGAAAAAGGATTATACTATATCCGTATTGTAGCACATTTTTAGACAACTTCTTTGTTTTTAAGATTTTGGTGGTCAAACATCAACAAAATATTCCTTATGTTTGGACTACATTTTCTCGAAAATAAAGACATAATTTAAAATTCCGTTACAATACGGAAATAGATTGAAGTTTTGTGATTACAATGATATATAATTTATATGGTTTTGTAACAAATTGCTCACTATTTTATGGCAAATTCTGAAGCTCTGTAAACCTTAATCAAGCCTTAATCAAAGGACGTGTGTTTGGCATTTTGCGTGTGGCTTAACACGACAGGCTCGGGCTAAGCCTTAAGCCTTGTTCATGTAGACGCGAATCGCGAATCGCGATTTTGCGAAACTGCTCTCATTGGTCCAATTTTACTGACCATGGCGGCGCTGTCAAAAATTTTAGGATTTTGGCGATTAGCAAGATTTAAAATTTGAGGGCGGGAAAGTTAAAGTGTTTTCAATTTTTTGCTGATATTCGCGCGATTTTAAGGGTCGCGTTTGCGCAGAATGGTGTGATCCGGTTATCGATTATTTTGACGACGCTGCCACAAAGTAACGTTTCAAGAAAGAAATGGGTTCTCGTGCATAATATCTTTTTGATATATATGGTGACAATTTTTTAACCAAGTTATCAAACTCCTGTACAGACAATCTGTGAAAATTCCTAAATTTTTTCTCATCTTTTGTCCTTATTTATTCAATTAAATTGCGATAAGCACCTTGTTGCTTACGAAATTTAAATATTTCACATGTCCCAAATGACCCATAAATGACCTATAAATCTGTGCTATAAACCCGTTCTCTTCTACCTTTTAACAATAAGTAAATGGCAATTTTGCACCTTATTCTATTCCAATCCCACAATCGTAATCGATATTCATAATTATTAAACAAATTTAAACTCATATTGTATGCTATAAAATATAAAATAAAGATCGTAAACACGAATAAATATGTATAAAACAAATTAAGTTATCTCAGGTTATGATTTTTTTTGGTAACTTTCAGTGGAGCAAAAATGAAATGTCCCTAAAAATTCGCGACTGTAGGAAATAGGTCCACATTTTACGAATATTTTTTGGCGAATCGCGTCTACATGAAACAAGCTTTAGGCAGATTTCTGAAATATAATATATATTTCCTTCGGCCACACACCCCCTTTACACCCGACCACTGATAGCGATCCGAACAGTACAGATATAAACAAGGGTAATAGACTCTTAATAGTAAAGACGGGTCAATATTGTAGTTGCTCACTTAGGTTAGACAATGTTTTTCCTGTATCCAGCCATTAACGTAAAAATCCAATACATTACAATATTGATAAGCTGCAGAGAAATTATCGTTATTATATATTGACGTTATTGGCCGGGAATTATTGCAAATTCCAGGCCATCATATCTATCAAAAGCACTCGCCGTTTAGCAAATCACACATATCTATTTCGTCTATTCAACTTTTACTATATTTAATACAAAAAAATGAAAAAAAAAACGGAAAGAAACACAAAGTATTAGTTGCTTATCGCTTAAATCAATCTGATCACAGGCCAAGCAGGCTCTCCGTACCGACTACCTTAAATAAAAAGTACTACTTATACACATATAGCGAACGTAAACACCTCAGTCTAATTTATATGTATGCATAAAGTATGCGCGTCTGTGTGTATGAGTGCATTAGGCGTGAAAACAAAACCGGTCGATCGATTGATCTGAAGATCGGATCGATAGATAAAGCCGACGGATAACTCGGTGCTTCCGAAACAAAGAGCCATCCGACGGCATTTTTTTCTCGTTCCAAACGTCCGCCTAGATAATTAGTTCTATTGTTGGTCCTTCGAGCCGCCCAAACGTCAAACCAACGTCAAAATCCAGAATGAAAACGAACAGATTATACAGGATGTCCCTTTATATCTATTTTCAATTCGTTATGCTTGGATATACATGGTGTCCTAGAAATAGGTGCTAGATCGGTGCTAGATCGGCTCTAACGGGTGGTAGATCTGGTCAAGAGAAACATATTTTCTCATTACCATTTTAAAAAAAAATTGATAATAACCGAGTTATTTAACTTTTGAAAATTTAAAACAAAATGGCAATATTTTGAGAGCCGCCGCGCGCCGGGAGCAACCGATGATCAGCCACAAGTACCAAGCAATTACCAGAAGCTCAGCTTTTAAAAAAAAATTAAAAATGTGAACTTATCTTTACTAATATATAAAATCCTTAAGTGACTGACATACTGATTAATCACGATCCTGCTCAAACCACTCAACGTAAGAAGCTCAATTTTGGCATACAGGTTGATTCTAGGGTGTAGAGGTTCGATAAGAAGAGATTTTTCGAAATTCCAATTCCAAGAGGGTAAAACCACCCCTCAAATATTACAATATTTTTTATTTAAAAAACGGTTAGGTTTCCCCAAAAAAGCTTAAACACGTATATTTTATTTTTACATATTTTAAGATTTTTTAAAAATGTATACAGGGTGTTTCGAAAAATCTTCATTGGTCATTGATTAACCACGATCCTGCTTAAAGCGCTTGACGTAAAAAGCTCATTTTTGGAAAACGGATTGAATTTAGGGTGTAGAGGTTCGATAAGAAGGGATTTTTCGAAACTCGAATTCTAAGGGGGTGAAACCACCCCTCAAATATTAGAATATTTTTTATTTAAAAACCGGTGAGTTTTTCGGAAAAACACTTAAACTCGTATATTTTATTTTGTTGTTTTACATATTTTAAGATTTTTTAAAAATTTATACAGGGTGTTTCATCAAATATGACCATTGAGTAATCGCGATTCTGCCTAAACTGCTTGACATTTAAAGCTGATTTTTGGCAAACGGATTGACTGTGGGGTGTAGAGGTTCGATAAGGAGGGGTTTCTCAAATTTCAAATTCCAAGAGGGTAAAAACGCCCCTCAAATATTACAATATTTGTTATTTAAAAAACGGTTAGTCATTCGGGAAAACGCTTGGACACGCATAATTTATTTTGTTTTTTTACATATTCTGAAATTTTTTAAAAATCATACAGTGTGTTCCAAAAAGTTAGGTAATTGATTAACCACGATTCTGCTTAAACTGCTTGACGTAAAAAGCTTATTTTTGGCAAACGGATTTTTCGAAAGTCAAGTTCCAACGAGATGAAACTACCCCTCAAATATTACCAAGTTATATAATAATATCGTCATATTGTTTTTCTCATGCTGACATAAATGTGAGAAAATTTTATCCAGTTTGTATGTTAATGGAAATTATTGCTTTGATTTATCATCACGCTAGTATCTTATAATCATAAAATAGGTGGCAACATTGCATTCTCTCGGAGCACTATAAACAAATTTCCGGAAACTGAACAAGCGGCACTCAAAAGTTTTTCAATATTTCCCGAAAAGTGTCAAGGAAAATATAAAGTTTTTAACATATTTTTTGCAAAAAACATCCTGGGCGAATTTCTGAGGTCGAACAGTTAAAATACCTGCACATATTTCTGGGACACCCTGTATAAGGTGCAAATAAGTGCAAATATTTTCAAGGTTGGGAGATCTCCATAAAAGAAACATATTTTCTCTTTACCGTTGTTCAAAGTCCAAAATAGCGGAGATATTTTACTTTGAAAATTTCAAAAGGTTGATTTTTAGCTTAAATTTTGAGAACCACTGGATCTTTGGTTTTTCTCTGAGTTTTCTTTCTTCTAAATTTAATCTACTACCTATGTATGTTGCCATACTATGAAAATTTTTTTTAACTAAAAATTAAAAAAAAATCCAAAAAATTTTCAAAAAATTCCAATTTTTCTCGAAAAAAACTTCATGTTTCTGGGGTCGAAATATACTACCTCTAAAAATATTTGCACTTGTTTAAAAGTCGCCCTGTATATATATTCTACTATTTCCAGAATCGTGCTACTTATTAGAATGTATTTCCTGTCTACTAGATTTGCTAAATTCAGTTTGCTGATTCAATCAATTCAATAATGATATTTCCTTAAATATACTTTAAACTGTGGCATTAAGACAAATACTCAAAATCTATGCTTTGATAAACACCTGTATCACCCTGTATGCACTTCTCTATCCTTATATCTTTCTAATATTCAATTCGTTCCGCAAGTTTGACTTCGGCCTTGCTATAGGCCGTCTATACAACCTTGTCTCTCATTAAAACCTATCCCTATCTTCGTCTCTCTGTCATCTAGTCTCTCTTTCTCAAATGTGCAAGATGATACGAATGACCAATCAATTTCAAGTCGTTAGAAGATGCTACTGATCGAGTTCGATATGGCATTCCGGATCATAAAAAATACTTTATTTGATAAAATTGTTAGTCACGATTATGATTGGTTAGACTGTTTAGAGAGAAGAGATATGCATCGGGGTTGTTTGTGCAGTGACAAAAATGTTCTAACGAATCAAGATCACTCCATGCATTGAGAGCTAACAATTTTGATCTACATGCTTTGTCGATATGTATCACAAGTGTTCCGAGTGGAGCTTGCAGGCTCTAGATACACTATTGTATTCGCTGATATAATAAATAGAATATGTATTTTTTATTATTATAGATTGTTTTTGTCTTAATTTTCTATAAAGATTTTCTAGTAAGGAATTTAAATAACTTTATCATCATCGTGCATCTTTTCTCGAATGTTTGTTTTTATAAAATACTAGCGTGTACCCGCGACTTCGTTCGCGTCGAATTAATCATTTGTAATGGTGATCAAAGCAAAGCAAGAATTTCCATTATCATACAAACTGGATAAAATTTTCTCACATTTATGTCAGCATGAGAAAAAACAATATGGCGATATTATTATATAACTTGGTAATATTGGGGGGGAGTTTCATCTCGTTGGAATTTGACTTTCGAAAAATCCGTTTGGTTTGGTTTGGTAGCAAAGCTTTTTACGTCAAGCAGTTTAAGCAGAATCGTGGTTAATCAATTACCCAACTTTTTGGAACATCCTGTATGATTTTTTGAAAATTTCAAAATATATAAAAAAAACAAAATAAATTATGGGTGTCCAAGCGTTTTCCCGAAAGACTAACCGTTTTTTAAATAACAAATATTGTAATATTTGAGGGGCTTTTTCGCCCTCTTGGAATTTGAGATTCGAGAAACCCCTCCCTATCGAACCTCTACACTCTACATCCCACAGTCAGTCCGTTTGCCAAAAATCAGCTTTAAGCGTCAAGCAGTTTAAGTAGAATCGTGATTAAATGGTCATATTTTATGAAACACCCTGTATAATTTCTTAAAAAATCTTAAAATATGTAAAACAACAAAATAAAATATACGTGTTTAAGAGTTTTTCCGAAAAACTCACCGGTTTTTAAATAAAAAATAATCTAATATTTGAGGGGTGGTTTCACCCCCTTAG